AAAGAAATACTAAGGTGATGTTATCAGAAGAAGGGATACTAAATGCCAAATAGCAAAATCAACAAACAAATGTCCCCTTGGCAGGGGGACTGCATGAAGAACATTTAGGTGCTAAAGCTTCTGAGAGTTGGGACAGTGTGGAAGTTATGAGTATAAGCACCTATGTAAACCTGCTGGGTCATCTCTCTGGTGTGTTATTTACTGCTCAGTGACTTTGAACATGTTACCCACTCTAATACTTGGCTCCCTCACCTATAGACTAGGGTAACAACTGTACCTATTTCATATGGTCAAGTTAATAAAATACGATGGACACAAAACATGTGCTATCATCTTGACATGCAACAGTTCAGCTCTCTCACCACAGGAGATCTGGGTGAATCTACAAACATAACTTAGAGAAAGTCAGATGCTTTCTGCATCCAACAACTACTCAGCCAAATACTCTCCTAGTCTTTCTTCTAGATCTGACTTTTTCCAATCTTATGAAGCTCATGAGAGAGGTTGCAATGCCAAGAAAATGCTCTATTTTTGAGCATGAGAAGACCGGGCTAGAGACACTGGCTCTCCCACAAGAAGACACAAGCTCATGGGATTTCCCTGGCAATCTCATAAGGAGCCTGAAGGTCTGTTGTTGGCAGATGGATTGGGGCGGGGACAGGGACCATTTTCAAAATGTTAAATTTTGAAAAATGTGCACATTACCCTTTCAGCCAGACAAATATGGCTGCACTCTCTGCAAGGGCTGCCTGCTGTGTCATCAGGGATGATGGGACCAGCCAAAGATTGCAGCTGGGGTCCCTGGAGCTGACCAGAGAACCAAGAGTATCTGCACAGGACGCAAGCAATGGAGAACTTATTCACCCAAGATGAGTGAGCACAGAGCTCCTAGGAGGAAAGTTTTCTAATCAAAACATACCCTGCATTATTCCAGTCACTGCAAAACCAAAGCTGAGTATTTGCCAGATATTGTGCTTTCCGAAAGGCTCACCACTAAAAAGGCATAATGAGTCTGTTGACCTCGGTGGTTTATGGGAAGGGAGGAACCTGATGTGGGAGGTGGAAGAACCTAGTCAAAAATGGAAGGAGAAATTTCCACCCAGCTGAAAAATATGTACTCATTTATGTAAAATCATGTACACAGAAAGGAATTAAAAAAAAAAAAAAGGAACATATGGGCCCTAGAAACAGACACCTGTGTTGAAATTTTAGGTTTCACCACTTGCTTGCTTGCTAGCTCATGTAATCCTTATTTTCCTCATCTGTAAAGTAGTTGTGTTTTGAGGTTTCAATGAGTTAACATGTAGTATCTTACTGAGTTAGAAAGTAATAAATGTGGGCCCTCCTTGGTGGTGCATGGGTTAAAGCACAGCTGTGAAGCAAGCTGCAACCACTTCAGTGCAAGTTTGACCCCTGGCCCGGAAGGTGACCCACGTGGCACTGCAGACCTCTCCTGTCTTGCCTGCTGCTCCCTCAGCAGTGTACTTTGTTGATCTTCCTTTTCTGCTCCCCATTCTGTCTCTGCTGAATCCTCTCACCACTCTTTCAGCTCTGGTCTGTACCCCAGTTCTGTATGCATAAATAAATCTTTACAAAAAAGAGGAAAGTAATAAATGTTAGTTGGTATTGGAGATCACTGAGAGAAAGCAGAAAGCTAAAGGCTAAGGTAGGGGGTAGGCAAGAGGGAAATTTACCATTTTTATATTTCAGTCACACTGAATTCACCTTTTTCTCCCCTTCACACATTGGTCCTTGCTTTGTGCCTGACTACTTCCCCCTTTGTGTAAGTGGCAAATACCTCTCCACTTCTCAAGATTCACCTTGGATGTTACTCAGTTCTCCTGTGACTCTCTCCAGCACCTACCTCCCAAATAGAAAGACTCACTTTTCTCAGAGCCCGACTACCTGCCACACACTGCTACTGTAGCAATACCGCATGGTAAATGATGGTTCTCATGTACTTGCCTATTGCCAAGGTCAATTATGAATTCACTGAGGACAGAGATCCTGTCTTATAGTTCTGGTTTTTGGCAGCTCCTGGCACACAAAAGAGGTGGTCAAGAAGTTTTTACAGAATGGGAGCATAAAAATGAAGAGTGACTGCTCTGAAAAGATGGTCAGTTCTTGTCCAACCTAAGGAAAAACAGATAGGAAGTGGACTTAAGCTCCATCATGGGAAACTTCAGTTAGGCACAAAAAATTCCCTTAGTGAGAGTGTTAGCTATCAGACTAAGTTCCCATGGGACAGAGTGGAATTTCCTTTAAAGGCCTTTAAAAAAGAATATTATTTTACTTGGGGGGGGGCGTGATGCTGATACAATTTTATTTGAAAGCAGGGCCCCAGTCTGGTATGAAGTTTGTAAAACAACCCAGGAGTAATTCAGATGACAGCAAAGGATCTGTTGGCTCTTGGAGAGCCATTTATCCAGCTGGTTTCTTGCATCAAACACTAATGTATGAAGCTGGGAAAGAATGTGGTTGTGTGTGACTGAGTGGAGGGTGAGAAGACTTCCCCTAACAAGCCTAAATCCCAGGATTTGAGCAAATGGAGCAGGTTGCCAAGTGTCACTAAGTCATCCTGGGTTTAAATACCCAGTTCTAATGGCACCCAACTTGTTTCTTTCAACTAGAACTTCATAGTAAAACAGGGAGGAGGGACTGGAAAATAGAAGAGCCTTCCCCACCTTCTTTGACAGTCCACACAGGTGCTGCTGAGCACATGCTGCAGGCCATCCCCTGGGCCATGTACTGGGCAGAGATGGCTGAATAAGACCAGGTCTCTGTCCTTACTGAATTGCTCGTTAAAAGGGAGTTGGCATCAAACAATTTATGACAAATAATGCATTAGGTATAGGTAGAAAATACTAAGAAGGAACAAAAATGAAGTGATAGGAATAAGGAAAGAAAGATGGCTACCTTTTACAACCATTCTTCTATGTCACTCAATATGCATGAGGTAAGCATCACTACCCTGTTTGTTTTTTATACTGAAGACCCAGAAAAAAATAGTTCATTGAAAAAAATCTTTCCAATAATCTACCCCTCCAAACTGTAAAAAAAGACACACAGTGTCAGAAAAAAAAAAAAAAGTTAACTGGACGGTGGGCATAAGACATAAGGGAAGAAGGTGATTTGGTGCCCAAAAAAAGGATCCTTAAGTTCACATCATGACTGGCTGATCAGCCTTTGGAAGGCATATTAAACAAGACCAGCCTCATGGGGTCAGTTACACAAGAGCCTCTGACAGATACACAATGTGGTAGGAATTGCTAAGTGCAGTATGATACAGCAAGTTGTGGTTTTGATCATTTCAATTTAAAACCTTCCTGGTCTCCACTGCCTAATGCTGAGGATATGCAGGACGTAGGCCTGGTTGGGAGCCGCCCCTGCACGTGGTTATTTGCACTCCCATGTGATGCGCCTCCTCCACCCTAAGCAGTTATTGAGTTGGTTTGAGGTTCCCTTGGCTGCTGCGCAGGCTGAATTCAGGCAATCCTGACTAAGCCAGATAGTTAATTAGTTGCAGCTTAGCATAGTGCTATTAAAAGCAGGGCAAGCCAATGACATTGACACATTTGGGTAGGAGAGATGTGATCTATCTGAGTAGAGGCTGAGAAAAGAAAGGGTGAAAGGCCTGATGTAACTCCCAAGAAAGTAAATGTCTTTGGGGTTTAAAGGAATCTCTCATCTACCAAATTTCAAGTGTCAAGGTCATTTCTAACCAAGGGGAATAACTAACTGGTCAATCTTACAGCAAGAACTAGCCAGTGAGAAACACCATGAAAACCACAAGATGTGACAAAATTTCATCTCTAATCTGGCTGCTAAAAACAAAATGAAAATCTGAATGTTTTCTAGGAAAAAAATACAAGCTAACATGGGTGGAAAATTTGTCAGAAAGGTCCAGGACACTGAGAAGATGCAGATACATACCACATATCTCACTCTCCGTTGACAGGCATCAGGAACAGTCAGAAGGTCTCACCTAAGTATGGTATGACCTCACACATGTAGAAAGCTTCAGAGGCTGGGAGGATTTTCCAGAGAAGATTGTAAGCTCGGTCAGAGCACCAGACCGATGAGTCCCTGCTGTTAGAAGGGTAAACCAATACCTTATTAAGTGACAAAAGAGGACAGTATAAGCAGTTCATGTGTGACTCACACATTAAAATAGCCACCCCCTCAAAACTAGGCATGGGTGCCTCACTCTCCGCCTCCTCTAGGGCAAGCTTCTGGGGTCACAAGCCTCCCCCTCTATCCTCAGTGAACCTGCTCTCTTGCCCTCTACCTCTGGTCCTCCGTGCAGCTAATTGTAAACTTGGGTTCCAGGCTGCGACTCAGAATATACCTGAAAAGTATAGAAAGAATCAGACTCAATGATATCAGATCCAGGGGAAACAGGTTACACATTCTAAATAACTGGTTTACAAACCTGGGACCACACCCATCTGTGTGGTTATGATCCCACACTGTGTGAATGAAGTTCCAGTAGTGAGCACTGCAGTTCCTCTGACAACCCTGTTTGGTCTAACATCAAGGTAAAAAAAAAAAAAAAATCCTAGCTGAAACTGAGCAATGTTATTTGAGGAACTGCTTTCCTCATATATCATTTCTTTCAAAGCTGAGATTTCCAAGAACCTATTGATGATGTTAAGTGAAGGCTCATTGTAATTGATTTGAAAATTGAAGTTAGGAAGAATAAACCAACACAGCATAGTCTACAAGAGAAAGTCAGAAATGCTAATTGGAGTATGACTCTTTGGTGTTTAATTATGTGACATGCCTGATAGTTCTTCCTCAACTTCATAGCATTTGATCTTTTCCTGAAGGAAGTCATAGCTCCTCAGAGCACATCAGAAAGCAACACTGCAGTTGTCACCAGTAACTGTTGGAGTTCAGACTTGTGATCTTTGAACATGGCCTTTACATGTTTCTTTGAAGAAATATTAAAAATGCATCATGTCAAAACTTTATCAGAAACTCAAGAAACAAACAAACCATCACATGGAAAAGTCATTTAATTCAAAAATCATACTTCCATTCATTTCAAGGGATTGTCACATAAACCAACCTAAGTTTCAGAGGCCATTCAACAGAATTTGTATTCTCATTACAGATATGCTTAGTGACCCAAAAGCACAATTATTTTTTTTAAAGCCTGAACATGGCAAAACTGTTGTACTAATAACAGGAAAAAAGTTCTATTCTAAGCGCAGATTTGTAATTACGAAATTGGATTCTACACACCAGTCAATATTCAATACTGAACTGAAGTTTAATAACTGCATTATTTATGGTTTTGAGAAAAACATCAAAGTGCCATTTTATAAGTACTTTATTGATAAGATATCACACAGCACTTTACAGTATACTCAAAGGTAGCCTAAACTATGAATTAAACATGCAAATTTTTTTCTCCAAAATACAGATAAAATGTCTTTAGAGTGCTTGTGAACACTAGCCTAATATTAGCTACTAAAGGTATATGAACTTGATCTTTTTCAACATGAATTTTAATAAGTTAATAAGGAATACAGATGTAGATAGTAACTCTGATAAATATGAACAAAGTTGTAAAGTGGCACTTAATTTATATCTTTATTTTGATAGTTAATCAACAGCCTGTCTTGTTTTTCTAATTCTCAGCCTCTGAATCTTAAAGGCTATAAGGATTCACCAGCTGCTGGCTTATGTGGGTCTCTACAGTCTACATCTGTACATATATCAATGCACACTGTACATACACATACACAAACACATAATCATACATATATACTTCAGGATCATTAGACGAACTTCTTCGAAAAGGTACACGATTGACCCTGGCACCTGGATACCCAAGGAAGCTGCTTGCAGGTGTCTTTCTGGATGACTTTGTAGAAATGACCACTATTGAATGCTGTCGAATGTCTCAGTCTGTTCAGAACTGCTCCAGGTAATTCTGACATCTTGATGATAAATAATCTAGTTATCACTAACTACACTGAAGGGAATTTTGACATCATTCTAAATGCTACCCTTACATGGTCTCTGACTATGTCAAGTCTTTCCACTTTCCACAGTAGTGTTCTGTAAAACTTTAATAAAAATAACAGTTGTGCATTTTTTTCTGACAGACTTTACCCCCAAACTATGAGCTACATTTATCTCTCTTAAAAAAAAAATTCCAAAGTTACTTAGTATCGTTCTCTTTGTTCCAGTATTACTTTACAACCAACATTTTTCCTCTCCAGAATATAGGTACTTGCACGAAGAGAGCATATTCAGCAAGGGTTGGTTCTGAGGGATGTCTAGATTCTCTATTATGGCCGCTTGCTCTGCTTTGGGAAGCTCTTAAGACAAGTACTGTAGGCGGTAAAGTAGGAAAAAAGCTAATTATTACTTGTTGGAGTCTTGTCTCAGGCATGCTAGAGGATTGTGCAAGGTTCACTGCTCTGCTGCTGTTGTCATTTTGATGCTACAATTACAGAGAAGTGGTTCGGCACCCAGCACATCAGCATGGCTGTCAAACACATTTGAGAAAAACAAGATAAATTTTTCAAACACCAGCACAGGGTGTGTGAGGGGACACCCAGTTGACTTAAAAAAGATGTAAAGTAGGGCTGTCTAGGTAATTGATTACTGTCAAGTTTGCCAGAGATAACAGCTCCCCAGATAGAAAACCTAGGACATTCCAAGGCAAAGTAACAAACATGCTGTCTGGTTCTTCACATGCTGTCTGGTTCTTCAATGTCTACTTGAGCAGATGATTGCTCATAGAACACTTGATAGCAGAGCAAACTCTCCATGCTGCAGTGGCCTTTGGGGGTACCTGGGAGTGCTATGGCTATAAAACTGGGTGTGCCAGACTTGATTTTGAAAACAGAAGCCAGAGGATGAAAGGCACCTACAGACAGTCATGAGTATGTAGTCAAATGTAGCTAATTATTTCAGCATCCAACTCATCAATCAGGTGTGCTTTTCAAGCCTCTCTTCTCAGGACAGATATTTTGATGTCATGGGGGTTGTTGTTTCCTAGATCTTCTCAGAAAACTCAACTTATAGAACTTCCCTTTTAGCCGCAGATATCGCACAGCCAGAGTCCTGGTGAAGCCTGTCATTAGCAGGGCTTATGGCTGTCAAATGTCAGTTTGCTAATACCTGCCTGCTCATTTTCACTTTCTCTTTGCCCCTCTAACCCAAAAGTACTCACCAAAAGGGGATGAGCTGAAATTATGTTGAAAAAGACAGTTTGTTCTAATGGAAGAAAACACATGTTGGCTATAGAAATACTAAAACATTAAGTTAAAAACTGATGCCAATTCTTGGGTACTAGGGAAGCTGTGCTATAAAAGGCCATCCCTATTTGTTTACATGTAAATTTGGAAAAGACTTCATTATTCTTGGGCAAGTCAGGAATTTACTAGTCGGGTTGGATTCCATACTAATTATTCTCTCATAGCATGGCATTGTTTAGCTATAGAATTCTGTGACTATGTGGAGTATTGAGAGATAGATCTTAATACTCCCCAAAGATTTAGGCTATATATATCTAACCGATCCCAGGACCTTACAAAGGAAACACAATGTTCCTGGAAAGCTCAGGGTTCCTGGAAATAGCCTTCCACTCTGATACCCAGGCCATTCCCCTAATCTGCCCCAAAGTTCCCTATTCAAACCCAGGGAGTTGAAGATTGGGGCACAGAGAGTGGAGAGGGCAAAATCTAATTTTAGTCTTCAAGTTCCTTCCTATTTGTTGGCTCATGTTCTGAACAGTTGCTCCAGTTCTGTAGCTAACAGGGAGGAGGTGAGCTGGCTGGGGAAAGGGAAGCAGAGCCATCTGTCACTCGCTCAGCCTGGCTGGGAAGGGGTCGGCCTAAATATTCCCATTGGCAGCAACTCTATTTCCCATTGGCTTCAAATCAGGGCCAACTGTGGAGAGCGCAACTTGCTTCCAAGTGGTCAAGCTGTAGCCAAGTGTCCACAGGTATGCTTCAGTGAGGAGTCTTCTATGTATGCCCAGTGAAGGTTCTCAGGGGGCAGGTGACTATTCACAAAGTCAAAAGTGTAAAAGAATTATGTTTCATTATTTCTTCTGGAAAGCACAATGACAAGTGAGTGTGCTTCTCTCCATGACCACGGAACAGGTCCCCAAGCTATTTGAAGTCCACAGGAAGTAGGTGAAGCCTGTTCATATGGCACCTTTCACTTTGCATTTTCCTTGATGGCTTTCCTGAGTACTACCTTGGTCTTGTACATTTTGAATTCTTGTTTCCTGATCCAGTGGTAATGTCTCCCTTGCTCCTTGAATCCCTTGATAAGAGGTGTATTATCCTGAGCTCAGGATCTGAATCACAATGATAGACTCCTATAAATTTAAAACCACCTATACAGCTATAAAGTACAATCTCCATCCCTCTTTTGGGGGCTTTCCCTCTTAATTGGGGGTTATAGTAAATCTGAGATGAACATAAAGGGCATAAGCATGTTTAGGGGAAAGGGAAACAGCAGCAGATCAAGAACTAGAGATCCTAAGAAGCCAGTTTTTCTTAGAAGTTAGACATATACACAACTTGCAAACTGGCCTGGCCTCAATTATAAAGTCTTTGAAGATACGCAAAGAGTTAGCTGTAAGGAGCACACAATTATCCCATCTCCTTCTGTCTTGATATCTTAGGGTACCAAGAAATACACCTGAGAAGAAAAAAATGAAAAAAAAAATCTAACCCTTGCCCCACCTATTTTAAATCCTGAGCTTCATCTTGCTAATAAGTAGGAATTCTTTGAAAAACTCACTGCTTGAACTTACGTGTTCTTTCCATCTTCAAATCCAAAGCCCAAAAAATGCTCTAAAATGCATCTGGATAAAGAAGACTGAAGACCATCCATGTGCCGTGTCCACCAACAAGAACCAGTTTGTAGAAATATCTTCTCCTTCCTCAAGGCCAGAGGGGATGATCCTGACCCTCTTCAACCTTGCTTCTGCTCTCATTCTTATTACCGTTTAGCAATCAAAGTTTAAATGTGTGGAGCAACTAGCTGAAAGAATATCAAATATAGAACTTTGCCATATAGTATTTCAAATCACTCTATTTACAAATTTATCTTTTCAAAAAAATGTAAAAGTACAGTAATTCAACACAATTCAAGTTTTTCTTTTCCTCTTTAAAGTTCCCTAAGGAGGAATGCCAGAAACAGGAAACACTCTCTGGAGTGGTGTTGCCATCCCCAGGAGTTCCTGGGGAGCTTGACAATCCATCTGTTTGTGGTGTATTGTGGACTCAGAGTCTCTCTTGAAAGGGCATTAGATTGCAGAAGATACTGAGGACTCCATTCTTAGTTGGTCAAGTGAATTTGAAATGTCCAGGCCAAAATTACCCAGTGTGGTGTCTCCTGTAAAACCAAGCCCCTTTTGGACCAGGAAATTTGCTTTCTCAGAAGCTATCTATTCTCCCTCTCATGCCCCCATCTTCTGGTGCCTTCCTGAATCGCAATGGCTGATACTATCAGTCTTGTTTTCTCAGAGCCTAACAAACAACTTCCTTTTTCTGAACTGCAGCGGTGGAACATATACATATCCTTTCAAACAACAGGCCATAGATTAACCCAGGAATCCTCTCTGAAAACTCCAGGGCAGCTGTGCTCAGCAGCCCTGATCACAGCCAAGAGATTGGTCAGTGTTGAGCTAGAGGCAGGCAATGGCAGGGAACAGGGCAGGTGAATGAGAGGTGATGAGGGAATGAGTCAAAGGGACGGTGTCACCCATGGAAGGCAGGAGACTGCCTTCTAGAAAGCAAATACTGATGGCATGAAATGATAGAAATATTAAGCCTGTACATAATTTACCTTTGAGGTTACTAGAGTTTGCTCCAAATATATCCTGGTGCTGCTGAAATTCCTCAGAAGAGAATAGTAGTTCTTCTGTTTGCCCCAAGTAGACCATTCCAATTCCTTAATCTTCTAGTTTAGGTTGTTAGAAACCCATTCAAAAAACTACCACAAAGAAGTGTGGGGAGGGGTGGATAAGAAAAAAATATGTCATGCAAAGAGTGTATCATTTTTTGGTTTGGTTTTAGAGTAGGTTGAGTTTCCATGGTTACTGGGTGACAGCAGCCCTCAGTGGCAGAGAAGTTCCTAGCTTGGGGGGGGGGGGCGTTATGTGGGGTGTGTGCATTCCCTTGCATGAGAGGACTGGACTGAATTCTGCTGATGCTGGGCCAACGGCTGCTTCAGAGATGGTGAGAGATTGGATCTTATGTAAACAGTGCTATAACCCCTCTCCATCCTGCATGCAAACAAGTAGGCCCATCCTCTGTAGTGCTGTGGGTCTCAAGTATTTAGAGGTGGGGTAGAAAGAGTGTCCACTGTAAACAAGAGCAGTAGGCCCAGCTTAGGTCTGAGAGCAACTGCCCAGCCCTGTCAGATTCAGCTATACTGCAAGCTCTTGGGGGACAACTTACATCTCACTTACTTCCTTTTTCAGGAGGATGGGGATTTGGATGACTACTGAGACAGAATGAACTCTCCCAGTTCAGATGCTAAGTAAGAGAAATGGTTTTGCAAACCTTTCTCTCTGTTATCAACATCAAACGGCCGTCTGCTGATTTACTTCTGATTCTGGCAGTGTCACCACATGTCAGCTGAGATGATTATGAGGCTGGGTGACACCAATGTTCACAGAAACATTGGTATTGACAGGGAGCAGCAGAGTCAGTCACCCTCCATTTCTCAGTGGCAAAGAGAAGTGGCCTCCAACATTGGAATCAGCAGTTGTCATGGATACCATGGAAAGCTCAGCAGTTCAGCCGGGGCCCATGGTTAGAAGAACTCCACGTAGTTCTCAGGGATGAGGCCAGTCTTTCCGTTCAGAGTCCCCTCCAACCAGCCAGGTTCTTGAGATGGATGAACTGCACAGGAAGGGGAACAAGAGAGAAGAGATGAGGTTACTGATAGCACTACAGGGTGACAGAGTGGATGCTCTGTGTGTGTTTGCAGCAGCGTGTGTGCATGTGTGCGTGTGTGTGTGAGTGAGTGAAAGAGAGAGAGAAGGAAGTTTAGAGAGAATGAGTGCAACTGCTCCTTAAATTGCATAATTCCAGAACTTGTTTAAACCAGAGGTTCTCAACCTTTTGTAGGACATAAGCCTTCTGATGAAGGTCTATACCGACTCTCTTCACAACAAAAAGGGAAACAATCACAGACATTCAAATATTTGATGCAATTTTAGGGGGTTATCAACTTTCAGAAGATCGTGGTTTAAAATGTTAAGTGTCAAACTTCCACTTTTTTAGCTTAGAGGTTACAGTGAAGTTGCCCCACCCACAGGCCCTATCTACAAAGTGCTAACCAAGGACCAAGTGGCATGTCCAGAGAACTGTACAAACCCGTCTTTAAAGATACCTAGCTCCGAATCTGCATTTTACTTTCCTTTAAAAAGTTAACCTCTGCTTCTTATTTCTTTCCTTACAAATTCCTTCTGTGCTTTTTTTGTCCCATTTTACAGCCCTCTTTTGTTTCATCCATATTCTTCCTTAATTTCCTTTCCTGTTCACTAGATTTTCCTTCCTAAATTGTATACTTGCATACATATCTGAGAGCTATTCTCTCATCTCTTTTGCAAATTTCAAAATTGCTGCCCTTTGATTTTTAGCCAAAGAATAACAGTTTGTTAACTGTTAGCCAAAGAACATTCCCACTTCTGTGACATCCCAATTTATCACCATGGAAAATTCTGTGATATAAAATCCAGCTGAATTTGCAAAGTAATCAATAGGAGGAAGGAAGACAGAAGAAATCTTGGGACTTGTAGGTGGGGGTGGGTGTTCACGCTTGTGAACTAGGAACATACAAATTGCTTTTGTGTGAGGCAGGGCATTTGCTCTCAATATAATATAAAAACTCAAAATTTCCAAGCTTGTTTGTAGAGAATGAATTTTCTCCTATTCCTTTCCTAGGCTAATTAAGTGACTTCCTGAGCTTATTTTAGAAAAGCATTTCCGCCTCTAACACTACTATGTAGCTCCACTTTCAGTTTGTAGGAAAAAAGCAAGAATAGAAACTAGAGGAAGCAAACAGGGAAGCAGCAAAAGGACACACACTGAGGTGTATAGAAGATCAATGTCAACCATGTCGAGATCTTCTATACTTCTTTAGGAAAAGACATTAAACATCATGTGACTGGCCTCCAAGACACAATTTGCCATCACTAGGCCTTAAGAATAAATAAATGTAGAAAAGGTGCTTCGGATTCATGACACCCATGCAAGGAACCTGAGAGAGATGTGTCACGGAAGAGCCAACACACCTAAAAGCAACCTGGTCTTTCCAATGGCCAAAGCTTTCCCAACCTGCCTCTAAAATACTAACACCCAAATGCCCATACATTCCCCATGCATCCCTTGGGTGTTCTCAAGATCACTTATTTTTCTATAGGGATAGTAAAACTCTCTTACATCTGTGGATTCTGGTGACAAGGAGAAAGCACCCAGCAGTCAGGACACAGTAACTGCTCAGTAGTAAACACAACGCCCTCTGGCCAACCGCTTGGACTGGTCAGCAAGACTCTCTTGGGAAAACCTGGTTAAGTGTCTCAGCAGCACCCCTTATACTTCAGGAAACCTCACATGTTCAAAACTAAAACAAACAAGTCAAAATCACTTTCCAAAAAGACCTAGAAAGAATGAACAACAACAAAATACCCCTCACACTGTACAGGAAAACTAAGAGCTGTTAGTCCACTGGATGCTGTGAGCCCACCTCTTTCAGACATTCTACCTTCCTGGCCAGATGTTCAAACACAGCTCAGGTGCTGAGGTGGTGACACTTGCAAAGATTAGAAATGGAATTTGCAGACTAAGAGAAGAATCAGAGGGGTGAAGGGAGGTCCCCCCAAACTGAAGAACAAGAGATAAATGTGACAGAAGGGGCAAAGAGCAATGCTCCAGACAGCCTCTGGGTCTGGCTGCTGACTCACTGTGGCCTTCCAGAATATGGACCCTGACCATGACAGTGGAGCCACCCGGGTGTTAAGATGCCAGTGCCCAGAGTACATCAATCAACCTAGAATCTCTAGGAGAGAGGCCCAGGGGCCTGTATTTTATCAAAAACCTTAAGAGTTATAACTTTTCTGTGCTTCTGTAATGACGTGGTAATACGAATGAAAATGCAAATTCTCCTTAACTGATGGAGGAAAAGAGGCAGCACCACATGCCTCCTGCTTTCTGTTATCTTCTGTTTCCTTTCCTCACACTTCAAAGATTAGCTGAAGCCCAGCTCCATAAATATCATCATGGAATCCCAACCTCCTACTCCCTCCCCTCTCCCATTCCTGGAATGTTCACAGTACATTTCACATATTATTCAAGGGTCTTCACACTGTGCAAACATGGTGAGCTTTGGTTCCCAGGTAGTTTTTTCAGTCCGTTTTAGTTTGTATCACTCAACACTCTGCAATGACTTCCTCTGCCTGGTGAATTATGGCAGAAGCAAACACCTGGGAATGGTGCCTGGGAAAGTCATGGCTTAGAGCTTTAAGTCTAAACTGACACATTTGATCCTGAGTATCTCAGCCTGTGGTGCACTTATCCCTATTTTACAGAAGAAACAATGATGGCTCAGAGAGGTAAATTTGAACCCAGTCTGTTTAACACAACAAAGCCCTTTTCCTCTATATTGTACTTCTACTCAACCAGAGAACGTGATCTTTGATGGTAAGAATGATGACTTACACGCTGAGCACATACTAAGCAGCCCGCACTTTGCTAAGTGCTTCACCTGCAAAACCTCCTTTAATCATCAACATGACTTCTTGGTTCTATACTATGTTCATTTTACCAATGAGAACTCGAGGCTCAGACAGGTTAAGTATCTTACACCAAATTACACAGTTGGTAGATTGTCTGAACTCAGGACATCTGACTTCAGGGCCTGTGGCCTTAATACTACTAGCTCTTACCTATCCCGGAGCTCTAGACATTGAAGATGCTCAGAAAGTGCTTGCTGGACTGAATTACACCAATGTCCAACCTTGTGAATTGGACCAGTGTCCACTGTGCTATATAAATACACGAGGTGTTGCAGCGAGCTGCCTGGGCATCTCTCCAGTCCAGCGAGCATATAATAAATATAAGCTGCTGCTGACGTGGGTGTGCTTCCTGCCAACCACTTTTTCTCAGCTTTATGCATATCTACATCAACCACCTCTGCACATACAACTCAAGCTCTCTTACTCACTGTGGACAAGGAGCAAGTGTGTGACTGAGGTCTGCAATGGCTGCTGGTCCCAAGGGGTAGAAGCACTAGCTGGACGAGATGCTGACCCTTGAGAAGCTAAATGCAATTACTCACTTAACAAACATATACTAAATAGTTCCACTTTCCAGACACTGCTGTGTTCTTGCACACAGCACGAAGGAAACAGATATGATTCTGCTCTTAGGGAGGAGCAACCTATCAAATATGCACACAATTTTAGGTAGTGATGAGAGGAGAGAAAGAGACTGGGGTAAGGATGTGTATAAATGATCCAAAGGAGCCACCTGAGGCAGTAGCTAGTGCAAGTGAAAAGGTCCTAAGGTAGGGGAAAGCTTTGCTGGTTTTAAAATAGTGTCTGCAAATTTTTCTTAAAGAACCAGGTGACATGGCCCTCCCTGGTGGCGCAGCGGGTTAAAGCACCAGCACTGAGAATCTAAAGCTGCTCTGCATGAGTTCGATTCCCGCCTGCCCCGGAGGTGACCACATGGTGTGGCAGACCTCTCCTGACCCGCCCGCTTGCTCCCCTCAGCAGTGTACTTCGTCAATCTTCCTATTCTGTTCCCCATTCTGTCTCTGGTGAGGCCCCTGAGCCTCTGGCCTGTACCCCAGTTCTGTATGCACAAATAAATAAATAAAATCTTTAAAAAAAAAAAAAAAAAAAAAAGAACCAGGTGACAAATGTGTCTCTCGCTCAACTCTGCCATTATTGTGCCACAGATCTATGTAAATAAAAAGGCATTGGTGGTTGTGTCCTAATTTACTTACAAAAATTACTTTATGATTTACTTAAAAATAGGCACTAGTTGGATTTGCCCAGCAGGTCACAGTTTGCCAGTCTTCTGTGAGAAAGTGAAGAAAGCTGCAGTGTATTGAGTGGGGGTGAGAATAGGCAAGGAGATGGGCAAATAGCTATGATTTTCATTTTTCAAAGTTCACTTGAGCTACTGGCAGAGAATGGGTTATGGAAGCAAGAGTGCAAGCAGCCAGACCAGTGAGGCAGCTGGCGGGAATACCTGAGTGAGAACTGGAGGTGGCGTGGGCTTGGATTTGGCAGTACAGATGGCTGGGGAGGCTGAAGAGTCCACTGACGAACTCTCCATACCCCCAAGGCCTGAATGGCCATCGAGTGGAGAGTCCCTGGTGAAGATTTTACTATATGCAAAGGAAACCTGGGGCTACCTGTTCTGCACACACACCACACCCTGTACCCTAAGTATGAATGGATCCAGTCCACCTCAAATCTTTATGAAAGTATCCCAAGAACCCAATTTTAGTGAACGCCATGTGAATTTTCCAGGTATCACTAATCATGTTGCTTAAGATGACTAATGTTCCTGAGAACACTAGCTATTTCTCTTTCCAGTTACTGTCTGAGGTGCTTGTGATGGAGTGGACAGTTTCCTAGTAGTTTGGCAAGAACTGATACTGAAGTTATTTCCAAGTATTGCACATCTATCCCCCACTGCACAAAGTCCAAAAGCCAGAACTGAGCAACCATGCCAGATTTGCAGCACAGGCCTGTGGAATCCAGAGGCTTGCAGGCTAAGCATTGTGAAAGAACAGACTTTCCCCTCAACTTGACCCTCCCTTTCCCCTTATTCATTCTTCTTGATCTTGAAAAAGACAATATACACACATTCCAAAACTGTCATTAGGAAACTTTCTTCTGATTGGCCTGCTGATTTAATCCAACAATTACAGAGCATCCCAATCAATTATCAGTCCCACCTAATATCTTCAGCAAATAACATCACATGATATAGAACAAGGAAAATGATCTCCCTGCCCAATGTGATTATAATTTTTTCTCCCTTTTTAATGCCTGATTTTATCCTATGGAAGCAAAGTGAAGAGGAAAATAGGAAATATAGCATTTTCTGAATAGTGAACATAGCATTATCCAAATTGATGTAAAATATAAAGTAACGTTTTGTCCGATTTCTTTTTGACTGCAGTTCAGTCAACACTGAGAGGTGTTTTCTTTGGGGTTTAATTTGGCCTTTTGATCTTTAGGGAATCTAAAAGGTCATGGACATTGTTGGTTAAAAGCAAACTAGTGTCAATGAACTTTGCCAAGGCCTCTAACTTGTTAACCCAAACCCCATTTATCATTTTAGGATTTACAATGACAACCAAGTTGTGGGGTAGCAACAGTCAAAGAACCTGATCTATCAAGCACAGCACCCTGAAAAGAAGGAAAGGACTTGGCAGTTAAAAGCCAGCTAGATTATCTTTTTTTTTGTTGGTTAGCTGCTAAAACAACTTCAAAATAGACTTAACTGGGGAAATGTCAAATGGTATGACCTTTCTGTAAAACAGTTTGGCAGTTCCATTAATAGTCATTCAGAGTTACTGTATGACCCAGAAATCCTGCTTCTAGATATAGTGCCAAAAGAACTGAAAACATATATCCTCAAGGAACTTATGCACAAAGGTAAAAAGCGGAAATAATCAAAATGTCCCATCAACTGCTGAATGAAAAAACAAAATGTGATCTGTCCATACAGAGGAATAGTATACAGCCATAAAAGGGAATGGAATTTTGATACATGATATTATATGGATGAACCCTAAAAATATTTTGCTAAGTGAAATAAACTACTTACAAGGATAACATGCTAGATGACTCCATTTATTGGAAATACCCAGAGAAGACAAATTTATAGGGATAGAAATCAATTAGTGGTTGTCTAAGCTGGGTGAAGCAAGGCTGTGGCAAATAAGACAGAACTTTATAGGGTATGGATTTCTTTGGGGGAAGATAAAGATTCTGGAACTGGACAGTGGTGGTTACTATATAACGGAATATAGCAAAAACCATTGAATTGTGCATTTAGTTATATACTGTGTGGTATGTGGATATCTCAATAAAGATGTTTTTAAAATTAAAAGAAGGTTTACTCAAGAGGAGTAGGACATGAGAACTTAGAAACCAATTCTGCCTCTGGGATAGGGGGAAGGGACTTTTGTATTATCAGAGTTAACAGCTAATAGAAACAAGGCAGCCTCTTGCACATGTAAGCAGTGAATTGGGATTGAGAGGAAAGGTCTTAAATGGGGCTCTCTCAAATCTCTCTCCTCTCTAGACAGATGTCCCTCCCTTCTGCCAGAGTAGAAAACAGAAGTCTGTACAGCTCATTCTGATGTGTCTGTTGTGAAAGCAGTATGTTATGGCTGGGCTGTGACCCCTCATACTTTGGCCTATATGGGGGTGCTTTGGACTGTCTCCAGAAGCCCCACTTCTCTAGCATTCTGGCTGGGGCCTGAAAGCTCCAGCTGCTGACAGAAGGCAAGGCGTCTGAGCTGACTGTTGTATGCTTTGATTTGTAAAGAGAACAAAGGAAGTTCATAGTGTCAAAGTTTAAGCACTTTGCTTTGGGCTTTAAGATCCATAAAAGAGGACTAAGGCTATCAGGTCATGGGCAGTTACAGGTTCACCTCAAGCTCTGTGGGCACAGAAGGCTCAGGGTCCAGCATGACCAGGTGGTCTGTAACCTCTTCCCCATTTTGCCTACCCAGGCCTAATTAATGTGTCTGCCATGCTGCTTGAGCAGGGGAGCAGCCCTGTTGCAAATGCATGTAGTCAAGGCTGGTGCCAGAGGCCTGTCTCTGCTCTAGTTTGGAACTTGGGGCTCTTTCAGATAATTTGGAACCAGGGTGTCAAGGTGCAGCAACTACTACCAGCCAAGAGTCATACCCAAATCATCTGAAAAAGAAAAACTGTCACCGTGAACTATGGGAATGTCAGTCTTTCACTAAGATGGAAGTAATGATGACAAAGATGATCATAACACCAAAAACACAACGAAAGCTTCCTAGTGTTGTGTAGTAGTCGAAACATGTGAAGTACACTATCAATTTTCTAAACAACTCTGTTACTTTCATACGAGAAATAAGTGAGGCACAGAGAATTAAGTCATTACTTGTGGTTGCACAGGTGTCAGTGGTCGAGCCTGTACCTGTGCTTCTGTGGCCTGAATCCAGAGTTCAGGGTCTGCAGTGCGATGTGGGAGTGCTGACTTCCCTGGAAGATGGGTAGTCCTAAGGGCACTAGGCATGTGCATGTAGCACCTCCTCCCGGGAACTGCCCCAGCCCACCACAGGTCTAGAAAAGTCAGAGCAAATGTCTAGTTCCTAAAACCAGGCACCTACTTTTGGTTCTTCCTTTTGGCAAAAAACAAACTGACTCTTTCACCCAGGAATCTAGAAAGATCAGCCCCAAAGGAGAATTTCACCTGGAGAAAATTATAAGTCATGCAAATGATGACATCAATTCTCATAAACAACACTATCTTCTTTCAAAGGGAGGAAAACAAATGAAAACAAGCAAACAAACAAAAAGTGGTATATCAGTTAAGCACCAGCTCCCTGTCCTATGGGGCAGGTGCAGAGGATCCACTTTCATGTCAGAATGCCGACCAGGATAGCTGACAATTTGCAGGGAGGTTTGACTCTGGGACAGTCTACTCTGTGATCCCAGAAATCAGGAAGAGAATGAGCAGAGACTCAGTAAAGCCTACTAACCCAAAGCTGTCCAATGCCCTATCACCTTGGAAACTGGCCTCGCCTAGCATGGACAATGAATATCACCAAACCCAAGAGAAAAAGGCTTGAAATTTTGGCCTTAATCTCCATCCTGAGACACTTACACCAATTAACAGGGCTCCTGTTCTCCATTCCTTTGTCTGCACTCCGGCCCTGAGATTCAAAGCCACTGCAAGTGCAGAGCTAACTCCTTGCAGGTAAAGTCTCACTTAAGTATCCACAGCGACTTGAGGCAACCTCTCCCAGAGCCATAAGTGGATCACATGTGTCCATTCCTGAGAGTTTTTCTTGAAGTCCTGTGCTGTCTGCTTCTTGGGAAAAAGGCACATAAGCACACACTCCTTTTTGAAGTTACCTGTCCTAGTGAGATTTCCATTAGGGAGGGAATTTGAAAACCCCAGTTTTTTTTTTATTTTTCTTCCCCATATCGCTGGTGGGGATAAGAAACTCACCATTATCGAAGACTGTGCCTGCTGTGAATGAGAGTTCTGAGTCGTGTTCAGCTTTGCAGGCATACAAGGCTTTGGCTTTCCGGAACGGTGTGCTGTTTGAAAACAGGAATCTATTTAGCCATTTAAAAAAAACTTCTAAAAGCCCCAGATATTTAATCCTTTCCTTCCCTTCCATGCAAGCCATCTAGCCCTCTCTTGTGGGAAGAGCCTGACAAGGCAGCCAGATGGCAAAACATGAGGTAAAAAGTTGTAAAGGTCACAAGAAAAAAAAGCCAAAAGCTTTGAGAAACCACACTTCTCATCGAGTCACCTTGTGCCATATGAAAACTTTACCTAGCAGTTACAACAGCTCGGAAGGCAGGCTGCTCCCCACTTCTGGAGTAGGAGTAGCTGGGGCAGGGAAGAATTTCCAAGTTGCAGTACAGAACACTCCCAACATACTCGCTGAGAGTTGGCAATGCTTAGAGAGACAAAAAGGAGAAATTCTAGCAAAGCCAGGTTTCTACTTCAGGCCATGGGCTGACATTAGCTCTTCCAGATGTTACTTATTTCTCATTGGGCTGGTAGAGCAAGATTCCAGAGCTGGAACTCCCAGACCCCCAGGGTAGGGCAGGGAATAGACAAGGTGTGTGTGTGTGCACATATGTGCACATGTGTGGGGGCTGTGGGGAGGAGGAGGACGAAGGGAGGGGACGTGACTTTTTTCCTCTTCTCCTGTCCAATGAGTGTTGATAACAGCCCTTAACTGTGCATCAGAATCACCTGGAGAGCTTTAAAAAAAATGCAGATTTCTGTGTTCTACTCAGATTTACAGATATAAATATAAACATGAACACTTTTAATAAGCTCTCCAAGTGGCTCTAACATGCAACCAAAGTTCACAGCTGCTGTTCTAGAGCAGGGGTTGACAAACTCTTTCAATAAAGGGCCAGACAATAAATATTTTAGACTTTATGGGCCATATGGAGATTTGGAAATTTGCCAGAAGTGATTTCCCTCTTTCTCCAAGTTATCTGAAGAAACATACTTAGGGGTTCAAGGGTAGTATGAAAAAAAGACCAAGTAGGTCTTCTGGGATAGGTAATTATTCAAAGGTTATATGTTGTTTACTTTATTGTCATTTCACTAATGGAGAGTCTCAAGGAATCAGTGTTGCTGAAACTCCAAGGGCACACTCACTGCTAGTGGTTGAATGATACTTTCGGGAAGAATGGTCTGGTTTCAGGTAAGTCTAGACAGACCTGAAAGGGCAGGAGTCTTGGGTTATTATGAAACTGGCAAGGAGTCCTCAAGTCCAGCTGCCCTTTGGGAAAGGGACACCATGGACAGACAAAAACCTAGACCAGGACCAGGTATAAAACTTCCAGTCTTCACTCTATGGAAACTGAAGCAAAACACGGTCTGTGATCAGAGTGATCAGAGTAAATGACAACACAGAATTTGTGGCTAGGGTGCAGTTTTACTGCTGTTCTCTCTGGTTATCTAGTAGCCATGAGATAATGTTGGCCAGATGGGAGAAAACTGGGTCACTGGGAGAAAATGAGGTGGGTTTACTGGCCCTGAAAGCAAAAAGGGCCTTTAGAATTCATCAGCTCTGATTAGAAAACTGCTCTTCTTGTCCAATGAGCATTAAGTAGAGTTCAGGACAAGGGACACATTCTGTGATCTAACTGAACCAAGTCCGTGAGTTGGTCAGCAAAGGTCAAACTTCCAATGTATTAACTTTCAGGGAAGGCCAAAAAAAGGTGTGTTCTTTTTTGAGGGAGAAAGGAGTAAAGAGGAGTCACTTAGTTTTGAAAAATGCTAAAACTGTAAAAAATGAAACAACAACAACAACAACAAAAAAAAACCAGTATCAACAGGTACAAAGATTCGGTCATGACAAGGAAAGTGGAAGCAGAATCAACCACGGTCTTCGACTATCAGGTTCTGTGACAGGGTCACTGTCCCCTGGGATCAGGGCAGAGTAGGTGTATAAAGAGCAAAGAGACTGGGGCGGAGAAATAAAAGGTGAGGGAAAGGTCTTCTGAGGCAAGGTTCCTCTGGCTGGCTTTCCATAGAGTTTACTTATTAATCTCATTAGATAAAGGGAAAGGGCTAAACGGGGTGGGGTTGGGGGCAAGCTAGGCAAACCAGCTGGGGTATCTGGCAGGAAGAAAGCAGAGGAAATGGCAATAGGTAAGTGCTCAAGACTATCACATGAGAGGAATTGTTCACTATCATCAGGATTTAGGAATAAGATAATGAAGGGATAATAAAATAGTATATTGCAAATAAAAAAAGAGGTTAGGAAAGAGCTCCTTTGCTTTACTCTCAAATGAGCAGGCAACTGTGCCTATGAAAGGGTCTTTTCCCTGGAGCCTTTCTCCCGCCCCTTTGGGATGGGCCCTTGAATGGGAGAGATAACAAAAGGGGGGCTTCTAAAGGGAATGGTCACTCCTTATCCCCAGGGCCAGGGTTGAAAATAAAATAATATAAACATCAAGTCTTTATTTAAACTTATTAAAATTTAAATTTCAGATCAATGATGCATACTTTCGTTAGTGCAGGTATGTCCCCAATATCGCACAGGACATAGTTACACTAAAAGAAAGTAACTTGTTCATCCCCAATTCAAATTCATCCAGGTGTTTTGTTTTCTATTTTACTTGCAAAATCTGGCAACTGTACTCATGGGGAAGGTCTTATCTTTTTATGCTGGTCAGCCCAGTGAGCTCAGTAACCTATGACACTGAGTCCTTCTCAAAAGCCTTGAGCAGTTTGCTTTAAGTAGGGTTCCCATCAAAAGAGATCCTGTGGGTATAGAGGCTGTTTGTAGGCTTTGATTCCGATTAAAAAAATAAAAAAAAATCCCCACCAAGCTTCTCTGGTTCCTTGGTTCCTCATCTCCCTATTTTCCACAGTGCATCTCGGGACTGGAAGCTCTGGACCCGGAACTGCAGTGAAGCTGAGGGTGCTTTCAGCTGCTCCTGTGAGAGCGCCCTTCAGACCTCAGTGGGGCTTTCAAGGGCATGAACAAGTTTGGAACCTTCTGCTAGTTCATTTTTAATTTTCGCCTCTGAGCATGGCACCAGGCCAGGAAAGCACTCAGAGGAGTTTCCCTCAAATGCCCTTGCAAGCTTTGCAAAAATGATGACCCACTCACTTTCCACTGTAGGGAGCTGCAGGAAGGTGGGGCCAGATAGACTGTCAGGGTGTAATGACCAATCATTTTAAATGCCTTTTCTAAGGGACCTTGTACAACAAATGCAAATTAGAAGTTTGGGACAGGTTCCTTTTCAAGGAAAAGGAAATGTTCAGTGAATGCTCTTCTAGTACACTGTCTCTGCTATGCTGCAAAAGAACCTTCATTCCTGAGCTGACAGTCTATCTGGAAATGTTCAGTGAATGCTCTTCTAGTACACTGTCTCTGCTATGCTGCAAAAGAACCTTCATTCCTGAGCTGAAAATGAAAGTATTAAAAAAGCTCGAAGAGAAGGCGTTTGCAGAGGAGACATGCAGAAGTTCATGAGACCATTAATTAGGTTTAATTAAGAATTTATTTTTAAAATAAAAGGAAGGAAATATGAATTCTCATTTTCTGGAAGTAGATTTGGAAGGACATCCCACTGGATCTAAATACTGGGTATGGGCCCCCACCTCTTGGCTATAACTACAACAGCAGTTGTATGATTTTAGCCCTCTGTTAGCTAAAATTTCAGCCCTCTCTCACTGGCTAGATCCCCAGCAATGTCCCTATCCGTGCTCACCTGGCATACATATTTAGTTAAATGATGGCCAATTCCAAGCCTACTCTCCCTTGCTTATTGCAAAATGGCAGTTTCCAGAACAGTCTCTTCCAAATAAATAGAGCTATTCCAGCAAGTACTTAGTATCTAGAATCCCAATATATCACTTAAGGGGATTTTGTTACCAAGGTCCTCTGACAACCTGAGAGATGGAAAAAGATGACCCCCCCCCCAAACAAATAAACCTGGAAATATTCTGGAAATTGGAAGACAGTGAAGTAGACAGGTAATAGCGCTCCAAATCTCAGAGACACAAAAAGTGAATAACCTCAAAGTAGGTTATTCACTGTAGGTTCTACAGCTGAAATGTACTCTTCTGAGACCCCTACAACCTACTGTGTCCAAGAGACCAATATTTTGTACATTTCACTCCTCTTTGAATAAAAAGTAGTTACATTCTCTTAATGCCCAAGTCTCTCTTACGAATGAATGAGGCATTTGGAAGGAAGGCATTGTCTCTGATCCCTACAATTTGCCCAGGATCAGATCCTCATGTGGCAACCAGTGATTTAACTGAAACAACCCAAGCCCTATCTATTGTACAGCAGGCAAGGCTCTGAGGTTAGGAGTTGCTAGCAAGTTAACTTTTGGATTTGGATCACCCACGTTTGGAGAAAAGAGTGCTGGGCTGAGGATAAGAAGTTCTGACATCTGGATTGGCTCTTATTTAGCTGTATGAGTCACCTGGCTATGCCTCAGTTTCTTTCTCCATAATAGGCCTTTTTTCTTCTCATTCTTATGAGGATAGAATGAAATGATGGATATGAAAGTATCTGGAGGGGAAAAGTTATATAAAAATGTACAGAAAATTGATATAGAGATTATATATAAACTACCATTGTAATATATATCTGTATATATAAACAAATGGGTTTGTCTTTCTTAAATTTAAACACATCTTTATAAATTATTTAAGCCTCTTAGCTAGCCCACCCCTAAGAAAAAAAGAACAGCTATGAGAAAAAGATGGGTAAGAAAATATTGCCTCCAACTACTTATAATTAAAGTCAGCATCTATATTTATAAGGTCTCCAACTGCTTATAATTCTTATAGTCAGCATCTACCTTTTAGTTGAAAGCAGAGGCTAAGTTTGAGAGATATACATACTGGGTGGGACTTACACAACAGAGGGATTCTGCAGGAATTTTATTAATTAATCACCTTCATGGGTTTAAGCAATGTCTTTTCTTCAAAGATCTCAAATGTTAAGAATGAAGTCTGGATGTCACCAGAGTAGGAAAAACTATAGCAGGGTCCTCAGGGAGGGGAACTAGGTCAAGCTGTTCAACCTCAGAAAGAGGCACTGCCTGTTCCCATGAGAGCTAAGGGTTCATGACACAAGGAGAGAGAAGCAGGCTGGGAACTCTAATGATTCTTGTACAAGCAGAGCAAAGAGGCAGCCATGAATAATTTAAAGAGATATCACTTTGTATCTCAATCCTTTATTCTGTTATATTTGTCTCTTTTATTGGCCTGACCTCTGCAGCTAAGTTTCAGTGCTCATGGGTGATAGCCCAGACCCACAAATAAACGTTGCCTGATGCTACCTGATAAGAAATGAGAGAAGAAAAGGCCAGCACATGTCTCTCTGCTGTTTTCTCTGATATTATCTTATACAGAGCACAGAGGGCCCCATACTTGACAGAGTGACAACAATAAGAGTCTAGTTAGGAGGTGCTCTTTCTCCAAACTTCAGGCATCTCACATTAATTCAGAAACTGAAGAAAGGATTCAGAAGGGCGTGGAAAATACCCTACTAGTTAATGCAAACAATTCCTCTTGGCTGTGGTCTCTTGGCTGGTGCCATAGCGGGACAGAGGACTGGTCCCCTCAGGTCCCTGCCCACCTCTGATAAACAGGAACAGAATGGTCATCATCCGTGATTTTACCTGGAATCTTCATGAACTGCTTCTTCTGGCCTGTCAAAAAGCAAGTGCAGGTTTGGATGGCAGGGAACAAAGTTGACGAGGAGGCTGAACACTGCATGAAGAAAGGACCAAGCCAATGAGAGAACAACGGCAGCAACAGAAAACCAAACAAACCCTGCAACAGACCTGATGGGGGATGAGTCGCTTGACGTGGATGAGGTGGGCATAGGGCTGGATGGCGCCGAGAACATGGGCCAAGATGGCGAGAGGGGTGAAGTTGGGCTTGGATTCGGGGGGCTGCAAGACATAACAACCAGAAAACTCATCAGCACATAGGGTAACCACACCAGGAGCACAGGAGGTTCATGGGAGGCCAAGTGATGGGGAGCTGAAGTAGACTAGAGAAGCACTGAAACCCAGGAAATGTTGTCTGTGCCAAGTCACACTTCCCCAGACCAAACCTCTGTGTCTTCCAAGTAATGCCTGCTCTGTAATTCCTTGGAGCATGAAAGTGTATCTTGGCCCTACAGAACAACTGCTTTCTAGGTGAGAAAAACTCTTCAACCATGTCTGGTGTGCCTTTGGCCATGAGGGGAAATGCCCCGGCCCCACATGCAGGAAAGCCCGTGCAGGCATCCAGATCAACAGCCTCTGACCAGCGCAGGGCAGCTTAAAACTAGTCTTCAGCTTCCACTGCTGTGTGAGTGTTTTTAAGTTGTGTCTCAGCAAAAATGGCCAGTTTTTTTTTTTTTGGCCACACAGACTATTCAGCCAGAAAACAATTTCCTGTTTACATTTCTAACTAAATGGGCTGTGTGCCATTGAAGACCCAAAGTACTGTATTAGAAAAATGATAGCAGAGGCAGGAGAGATCGGGACACACACATCTCAGAAGAGAGCACACAGTTACGGATAGTGTGCAGTTCCTCTGAGATTTGCTTCTCAGGTTTGCACTTTCTCTTTATATGGGTTTTGGGCATTTTGATGATTAAAGAGAAAGCCCCAGAGAGAAGGCAGTGAAAAAAAATGAGGAATTGAAACCTTAAATCTGTCCATTTTGTTCTTTGATGGGTGGCTGATCAGAAGTTTGGAGAGGAAACGTTGATATTACTCACTAAAATATGGTTTGAGGATTTTAACTGGCCATGCTAGCCCACAAATTATACAAACAAACAAATATCTCAGCAACTCTGTGAAATCACACTAAGTCACAGATAGTGCAAACACCAATGACTGAGAAAACAACATGGAAACGGCCCAGCCACATCATCTGCAGTTCTGAGCCTCAACCGACTGCTAGATTGTTTGGTCTAAGAGCTTTATAGAAGAAAAAATGACAGCAAGTCCACTCCAGGAAAATAGGTTTTCTAAACATGGCCAGATTTAGCAAGAATATATAAGTAGGTCTACCTCATGGGGCATTCTCAATTCAGACATGAGATTCTTTAATGAACTGATAATAGTAATTATCAATAATATATAAAACCACCTATGGTTGTAACATAAATTCCTAGGGAAATATAAAGTAAAATTTCGTTGTAAGTTCATCAGATATCCCTATCCTAGAGCAATTAAATAAAATATTGTTAAACTCCATTATGTATATTGTTTTTCTAGAATACAAGTTCCATGAGGTTAGGAATTTTTAACTGTTTTATGTACTCCTGTAGCTCCAAAACCTACTTACTTATGCCTTGTAAATATTCAGTAAAAAATTGAGTGAGTACATCAATGAATTTCATTTAACTCATCTAACAAACAAAGTGGCACAATTATCATTTCCATTGTGTGACAGGGCTATGTTCACATGTGCAGGCCCAGGACTCTTGTCACCTCTGGGGTAGCAGAACTTACTTTGTTCCTTTTCATCAAGCTTTCGAAGCTCAGCTATAGTACCAAAAATCTCCTTAACTGTTATTTTTCTGTTTCCTTCAGATATCTACCACATTTGCAAGGGAAAATTAAGGCAGCAAGAAAGACTAACTACACTGTAAACTCCAAGAAAAATCCCTGTATCTTGCCTCTGATTTTCTGTCCAGTAGATTCACAGAGTGGGCTGAATTCACATAATAGAAATTAAATTCGTGAGTGTGATTTTATTTTTTTCCTTCTCAATTAGTCCAATAAAGACTAGTTATGGAGTACATAGTTGCATCAAGGCAGTTAGTGGAATACAACATAGCGTCTGCCAAGGTTCTTGACTTCAAGAGTTTAAGATGTATTTGATAAGGAGGGACAGAATGGAAAACAACTGTAATACAAGATGGTAAGATTCATCAGCTGAGGGGTAAGTCACTTTCCTTAGCTTAATACTTGCACCCCCTTGACTCTGTCTCAAGTCCTGCGAGTGTGTGCTCTCTTATTTCTTGTATACTGTAGAATGTGAGCTGTAGCGTTGCATTCTCAGTCCACTAAATAATGGCCTGACAAGCAAGCTCTGATGATGACTTCCACAGTGCTTCCAAGAGCCTGATCTCTGACCAGGGATCATGATTTGAAGGCACAATTTGGAGGCTCCGTGGAGCAGCCAGAGGCCTGGACCATCTGTTCTTCTGGTCAGCGGTCATCACAGGATAATTAAAAACTCTCAAGTTTGTTTTCAGTTCTTTTTTAGTAACTTTTATAAGTGAGAAACACCTCAAGCTTCCTAGCTCATCTGTGCCAAGAATTATGCCTTTGGCTACATGCACATATGGGAAGATAGTCCATGAATACAATGTGGGTTCAAAAAGCCTTTTCATAACCTTGGATATCTAAAGTGGCTGTTGGCCAGTAGTATATGGTTAAAATTGTCCGGTGGGGTGTGGCTGGAGTGCAGGGGATTCATGACTTTTGTTACAAACTTAATTCTCCAACCCCCCATGTCCACAGTTTTAACTGGAATTTTTAACTAGTAGAATTCCATTTGTTTGCTTGTGTTTTGGTTATAGCAATAACATTTATTTGCTGCACAATGACTATAATTTAAAATCTATTACTGTTATAATTTAATATAATAATAAAATGCATACTCCATCACACTTTTACAGTTTTTGTAGACTACTAACAGAATTACAATTTAGTATCAACAATCTTATTTAATATTTCTATATATCATAATGATTGAAGTCTGTACATATATAGACTGAAAATAAACATACAAATGTTCCTCCCAGAAACAGCAATTTCAGTTTTGATGCAATTCAGAGACTATATATGTAAAGAAAAAAAATGACCTGGGATGACGACGATAGCTCAAGGCTCGTTATATAATCTTATATTCTCTTTTCATTACTTACAAAGGATACCCGTAGAATAAAGACCTCATCTCTAAAAAAATCCAAAACAGACAAAGGAAAAATGGTAAATTTTACTATTGATGCTGAAAGGTCCAATACCAAATTATCAAACTTTTTTCCTGCTAATGTCACCAAAAATAACAAATGATTGAGGTTAGGAAAGTAAAAAAAATTATACCTAAAATTTTAGTAGATGGCCCCTCAAAATCTCTCTATGATCCTTAAGAGCCATGCTGGGAGTCCTTGAGCTGAACACCTGAGCACACCCTCCATCCTAAATCATTCTGGAGTCCTTCCTGGCCTCTCAGGCTCCAACTGCAGCAGCAACAATCCAGCTTAAATGTTAGCATGATGTGGACTCAACTGAAGTTCACATCAGCTTTATTTACTGGCCCACGGTGTCTGCAGAGAAGTCACACAATCCCAGTCAGTCCTTTTGACACTCGCTGAAGAGTGAAGAAATCATGATTTAGGAAGATAAGGCTCAAAGACCTGGCAGCATGCTGGGTGTGGCTGATAGTTCAAGTACATGTGTGACAACATCACCAGCTTGACACCCTTGGGTGGTGACTCACTTGATGACGGAACACCTGGTGGAGCAGCCAGGGCATGCCTAGCGCACTGCGGACAGGCTACTCTGGCAGCCGCCCAAGCCACCATGTGCCCGACCCTCTCTAGTCTCCATACCATAGTCACTAAAACCAAAGCCGGTACAAGATGATGAGTAAGCTGACTATTAAGAAGACAGCTAACATTTTTAAGTTCCAATACTCAGTGAGAGATGATCTTCAAGAAAAAATTAGAAAATACCAACAAGCAAGAAAAACATTAAAATATAATTTATGCCGCTAGTGATCACTGTTACCATCTTAGCATATTTATCCTCATTTTTGGAGGGGTAAAACTACATACACAATGACCTGTTTTGTTTTGTTTCCACTTAATAAAGCATGTTCTGATGTTGCTAAGTAGCCTGTATCTTATTTTTAAAGCAGCCACAATATATTGATCTATGTAACCATTCTCTTACTGTGTACATTGAGATTATTATCCCGTTAGCTATTACAGTGTTTCAACTCACATCCTGTACAGGCTTACTGCCTTGGCATACATTCCTGGAAGTTAAGTTAGTAGGTCAAAGGTTAGGAGTTTGTGTATATGTATGTGTGTGTTTTAGGATCTTGAGTCATACTACCAAATAGCTTTATGAGAAAAGCTTTTTATTTTTATAGGATTTATTTTATTTATGCATACAAAAGCTGGAGTACTGGCCAAAGGTGAAAAGGGGTGAGAGGATTTAACAGAGACAAAGTGGTGAGCAGAATGGACAGATCTACTGAAATACACTGCTAAAAGGAGCAGCAGGCCAGACAGGAGAGGTCTGCTGTGCCACATGGGTGGTTGGGTGGGCTCCTTCACCAGGGGTAGTGCTTGTGCTGCAGTGGCTGTGGGTGGCTTGATAGTGCTGGGATCTAATCCCTTGCACTGCCAGGAAGGCCTAGAAAAGCTTTTTACCGAAAAGCTTTTGGGAATCACATTCTGACTAACAGTGTATGGGGGCTGTTCATTCCCTTTCATAATGGCTCTGTGGGTAAGGGGCAGTGGTATTTTAAAAAGATACGTTATCTATAATGTAAATAGACATATAAATAAAATTATAAAAAAACAGATACATTAACTTTTCTCAAGGTAACTCAGGTTATCTTGAACTCTTGTCTTTCTTAGCATTTCCAATAATGTAAAACCTCCCTGTGTTTTGTTTCCATCTAGAAGCAACGTTTAATTTTCCGAAGAGGATTCTACTGAAGTAGTATGGTAAGAGATAGGCAGATGGCTAAAAACAGAGACAACCAGCACGTGGGAACCTGCCTAGGTTTCTAGGGTATGGTTTCTACAAGAAAGGCTGAGAGAAGCAGACTAAGACTGTTAAGATAGGTCCGAACAGGAGGAGTAAGTTACACAAGAGGTGCCAGAGACTTGTGAATAAAGAAATCACAAAACTGGCAGACTTAAGTCTCT